ATGGCCAAGACGCCTCCACTGACCTCGTCTACACTACCCACCAACTCCAGCACCGCTCCTGTGCCAGGTAAGTTCACTACGGGCTCACCATAGCCCGTGCTACTTGCCCCGCTCCTGTGCCAGGTAAGTTACGGGCTCACCATAGCCCGTGCTACTTGCCCCGCTCCTGTGCCAGGTAAGTTACGGGCTCACCATAGCCCGTGCTACTTGCCCCGCTCCTGTGCCAGGTAAGTCCACTACGGGCTCACCATAGCCCGTGCTACTTGCCCCGCTCCTGTGCCAGGTAAGTCCACTACGGGCTCACCATAGCCCGTGCTACTTGCCCCGCTCCTGTGCCAGGTAAGTTACGGGCTCACCATAGCCCGTGCTACTTGCCCCGCTCCTGTGCCAGGTAAGTTACGGGCTCACCATAGCCCGCGCTACTTGGAACTTGTTCCGAGTAGCTGAATCTATAACAACATATAGATTGTTATAGATTCTCTCTGACTATACGAAGACGGCCAGCAATCTGAATGGATATTTTACATCAACGTTTATATTACAAAGATTGGACAGCATCCCAAGACCCACACATATGTTTGAAGCAGGCTAGGAGACAATGAGTTACACATGTTTGAAGCAGGCTAGGAGACAATGAGTTACAAATGTTTGAAGCAGGCTAGGAGACAATGAGTTACAAATGTTTGAAGCAGGCTAGGAGACAATGAGTTACAGATGTTTGAAGCAGGCTAGGAGACAATGAGTTACAGATGTTTGAAGCAGGCTAGGAGACAATGAGTTACAGATGTTTGAAGCAGGCTAGGAGACAATGAGTTACAAATGTTTGAAGCAGGCTAGGAGACAATGAGTTACAAATGTTTGAAGCAGGCTAGGAGACAATGAGTTACACATGTTTGAAGCAGGCTAGGAGACAATGAGTTACACATGTTTGAAGCAGGCTAGGAGACAATGAGTTACACATGTTTGAAGCAGGCTAGGAGACAATGAGTTACAAATGTTTGAAGCAGGCTAGGAGACAATGAGTTACAAATGTTTGAAGCAGGCTAGGAGACAATGAGTTACACATGTTTGAAGCAGGCTAGGAGACAATGAGTTACAGATGTTTGAAGCAGGCTAGGAGACAATGAGTTACAGATGTTTGAAGCAGGCTAGGAGACAATGAGTTACAAATGTTTGAAGCAGGCTAGGAGACAATGAGTTACAAATGTTTGAAGCAGGCTAGGAGACAATGAGTTACAAATGTTTGAAGCAGGCTAGGAGACAATGAGTTACAAATGTTTGAAGCAGGCTAGGAGACAATGAGTTATAAATGTATGAAACAGGCTAGGAGACAATGAGTTACAAATGTTTGAAGCAGGCTAGGAGACAATGAGTTACACATGTTTGAAGCAGGCTAGGAGACAATGAGTTACACATGTTTGAAGCAGGCTAGGAGACAATGAGTTGCAAATGTTTGAAGCAGGCTAGGGGACAATGAGTTACAAATGTTTGAAGCAGGCTAGGAGACAATGAGTTACACATGTTTGAAGCAGGCTAGGAGACAATAAGTTATAAATGTATGAAACAGGCTAGGAGACAATGAGTTACACATGTTTGAAACAGGCTAGGAGACAATGAGTTAAGGGATATCTCCAAAACGTGCGAATGAAACAGAAATAGCATAGATAAATTAAAGGAATCTAAAACACCAGGTGTGTGGATTTGGATGGAAATAAATCCCAAATTGTAAAGGAACTGGCTGATAAACTGTGTCTACCACTGAAACTACTATTCAGAAGATCTCACATAATATATATATATATATATATATATATATATATATATATATATATATATATATATATATATATATATATATATATATATATGTCGTACCTAGTAGCCAGAACGCACTTCTCGGCCTACTATGCTAGGCCCGATTTGCCTAATAAGCCAAGTTTTCCTGAATTAATATATTTTCTCAAATTTTTTTCTTATGAAATGATAGAACTACCCATTTCATTACGTATGAGGTCAATTTTTTTTATTGGAATTAAAATTAACATAGATATATGACCGAACCTAACCAACCCTACCTAACCTAACCTAACCTATCTTTATAGGTTAGGTTAGGTTAGGTAGCAGAAAAAGTTAATTTAGGTTAGGTTAGGTAGCAGAAAAAGTTAATTTAGGTTAGGTTAGGTAGTCGAAAAACTATTAATTCGTGAAAACTTGGCTTATTAGGCAAATCGGGCCTTGCATAGTAGGCTGAGAAGTGCGTTCTGGCTACTAGGTACGACATATATATATATATATATATATATATATATATATATATATATATATATATATATATATATATATATATATATATATATATATATATATATATGGATAGCACAAGACGTGTCGCAGAGAGTGGGACACAGTGGTTGCCAGGATCAGGTTGCCAGGATTAGATTGCCAGGATCAGGTTGGGCTTCCATTACATGTGGCAAGTTGCCCGAGACACAACGCGTGTTAGCGGCCTTGCAAGAATGTACCACTTAATCACCTAAATATCTACTTTCACAGCTAACTCATTGTACCTTCTTGTATGTAAATAAATAAATAAATGAGTAAATAAATAAATAAATAAAAAAATAAATAAATAAATAAATAAATAAATAAATAAATAAAAAGTGATGAAGCCTAAGCATTCCTAAGCTAAGCATTCCAAGCATAAACTCAAATCAAACATAAAGAACTGGGTCATGATCTCACTACATTATGGAATATCTATTCATTAGGCCTGCAGACCTGCTGGTATGAGCTTTCCAATTACTTTACGCATTCCCTTGGTATTGAGAATATCCTCATGAGCTATTCAAATATTGTCAGTGGAAGCTGGTGATGACATTCATGGCCCCTGTATGACTAACCATCCTGCAAGATGGGGTTTTAACATAGTACGTAGCTAGTTCTTGGCACAAGCTATGTAAACCTTCATTTATCTTGAGGTTATATCTTGAGATGATTTCGGGGCTTTTTTAGTGTCCCCGCGGCCCGGTCCTCGACCAGGCCTCCACCCCCAGGAAGCAGCCCGTGACAGCTGACTAACTCCCAGGTACCTATTTTACTGCTATGTAAGAGGAGCATAGGGTGAAAGAAACTCTGCCCAATGTTTCTCGCCGGCGCCTGGGATCGAACCCAGGACCACAGGATCACAAGTCCAGCGTGCTGTCCGCTCGGCCGACCGGCTCCCCGTCGTCCTCATTTAGCCTAGGGTAGCAGCATAAATTCGAATGTTCCTTTGTATATTAATATAAAATTGCATATAAGGATATATTTATGACCTCTGAAGTTTATTGTGTCCTATATTTACGCAATTCGACAAGTGAACGAATTCATGTCAGGTGAAAGACTGAAATGAGTTGGATTGTGGAATATTTTTTGGAGCATAAATATTGTCACTAAAGCTGCGAACATTTGTGGTTGTTGACTGTCACAGGGTTCTTGTGGGTATAGCATTTTTTTAGCCCCTATAGTCCCTTCACAGTAATAGGGATTCAATGGTAGTTATTTCTTGTTTTCAAGGGTGTGGTAGACATAAGTGAGGTGGGTGGTTCATCAGCAAGATAGACCATGATGTGCGTCCCGGTACTCCACGCTAGTCTCGGGTCTCATCTGGTACTGTCACGCTTCACAGAGGCTACCTTACCTTGAGGAGCTTCCGGGGCTTAGCGTCCCCGCGGCCCGGTCGTCGACCAGGCCTCCTGGTTGCTGGACTGATCAATAAGGCTGTTGGACGCGGCTGCTCGTAGCCTGACGTATGAGTCACAGCCTGGTTGATCAGGTATCCTTTGGAGGTGCTTATCCAGTTCTCTCTTGAACACTATGAGGAGTTTGCCAGTTATGTCCCATATGTGTAGTGGAAGCGTGTTGAACAATCTCGGGCCTCTGATGTTGATAATTCTCTCTTGAACACTATGAGGAGTTTGCCAGTTATGCCCCTTATGTGTAGTGGAAGCGTGTTGAACAGTCTCGGGCCTCTGATGTTGATAGTAGGCTAGATATTAACGTAGCATATGAGTGGTAATAAATGTGTGTCCATGGTGTTCCTCATATTTTATTTTTTTTATTTTTATTTCTATTTATTTATATACAAGAAGGTACATTGGGTTTGAGAGAATATATACCATAGTATTAACAATCTTGTAAAGCCACTAGTACGCGCAGCGTTTCGGGCAGAGATATCACCAAACTAGGAAGCGGGAGACCTCATTAGCCAGCTTACAGTATATGTCACACGTGATAAAGCAACCCGCTCTCGCACAAGACAGTACATATATGACTTATTGCTTGTAGTCACTATTTGGCTGATTAATAAGTACATATGTGGTATATGCCAAGTTATATTTAGTTTTTAAGGTACAAACACTTCCTATAGATTCGCTAAACACCTAAAATATTTAAAACTAAAATATTCACAATAAATTAGTATGTCACATAAAACTTATTAATAAGCCAATATTGACTATAAGCAAGTGCGAGAACGGGTTGCATAAACACAAGGCCTCAAGCTCCAGCGGACCCGCGTCTGCCCTTCACTCTCCCCAGTATCTTGTCCCTTTTACCCTCTTCAATTTACCTGAATTTACCTGAGAGCCACTAACACTCTAGTGGTCTTGACGATGACAGGAAGCCGGCAGCTTGTCAAAGGTCCCCCCATTTGCCTTGAGAATTTTTTCCAGCTGGATTTTAATATTTAACAGTTTTGGCATTTACATCTTCGGCGGGTAGGCGGTTCCATGGGTTTATAACCCTGTGGGTGAAGAAACATCTGTTTTCGTCTCCTGTCTTGAACCATTCCTTTACAACACTTGTCACTAGATACTCTTCTCGAGGGACATATAACCACTATCAAGTAGGTTAGTATTATAACCTTCTGTTCTCGCATCGGCATCTTATGTATTATTGAAATAGTTTTTTTTGAGGTGAGGATGGAAGTGATGTACAGTCAGCTCAGCTCTCTCTTGATCATTACTTCGCTCACCACCAGAAGCACGTCTTTCCCTCGCCCCCAGAGCAAGTGATACACCCGAAGGA